ACTCGTCAAAGAGACAAGTAAAGCCGATCCTTTGACCAAACGAGTGCTAAACCGTAATGGTATCTCCTATTCTGCCCTGGCATATTCACATTTCCTATATCCTCCAATCACGCCTTCACTATCACAATATTTTACTTGCTTAATTAAATGAAGTGCAGTGTGCCCTTTTTAGCGGCTTTCATGAGAACCCTCTGCACTCCACGCTGGCCTTCTCACCGCCCATCATCCTTGTGCTGGGAATGTTGATCGGAGTCGGCCATATTATTACGCAGTCCTCCTTCCTTAGGTATTACGTCAGTCTCTCTCTTGCCCCGCAAGATCCGTCTGCCCTCTCTCTGGTTCACATATTTCACTCGTCAGTGAGTCTCACACTTCTTAACACCACACAACAACCCGTCAAAGAGACATAGCTAGGAGATTGTAAAGCATGAAATAAGAGTCTCTTAATAATTAGTTTAGATTAAAATTCGATTCTAAGGAATAGGCTTTACTTTATTTTATATTTTTGTTAAACTAAATGAATAACATTAATGTGAAAATGTGCTAAGCTAATTTCCTTGGTTCGACATTCATATCCTTCTAAATATATCAGTAATACTACCCCACTATTAAAAATAATAAAAATATTACTTTTATACACACATATGCAGACAATCCCAACCCTGTCAAAATGCATGCTCATGGCAGATCTGTATTTGTTTGTACGATTGACAGCGTTACAAAATACGTAGTAAGTTTCAAGATCACCATGAGATCTTTAATAATAATTTGCCATGCTAGTAGGTATTCGCTGTGCTTATTGTCTTGAAACCTACACACTAGCATCGTCAAGTTTAATTATAAATATAAATTTGCCTTTTTTAGAATCTCACGGGTGCGAAGAGACAGAAGCCTGGATTGCCCTGGGCTTCCCATCTACCATATGTTCCATTGGAACTGATGGTTGTGTAGGGGAATGGTAACTCGTCATATTCACGCACGACTCGATTTCTAGTCCAGTTTTAGGTGCTAAAGCATAGGCGAGGTCTGAAATACCGTTTTTCCTAGATGGGAGAGCCTTTTGGAGGATAAGATAATGCGAAATTTAATGACATCATGAGGTATACCTATTTCATTTTTGGAAATTTCAAACATCAGTCCTACACTTTATACGACCAAATATGGTTATAGTTCTATTTTTTAAAGGTTAAAGGTGTTCTTATAATGTGTTGCATAAGATCTATTAAATTTACATTTTATCTATCCCAAAGAATAATACATAATATTCATGACTTTCACTTTATAACTTGTTGGGATCCGGAGTGTTTCTGGTCATTTGGCGCCACATTTTTCTAAAGACACAGTAAAAGATTCTGTCTGCAATGGTCATACCTTCAAAAAAACGCTTTATTTGTCTCTTTCTCTTTAATCTTTAATTACACCTTACATATGATACTAGTCGCATAACTTTTGATATTTAAAGGTCTTGCTGGAGTTCGCATTACAATTATGGCTGCTCAAAATCATCTTGGATGCGAATACACTTTGTCCCTAATTTCTTTCTTTGAATCTACTCATATAAACAAGGGCTAATTGGACCATATTTGACGTATTTTAATGTGTTAATTCATATACTTCCTTTAAACTTCCTTGCTTCCTTCATTATGTATACATATATATATATATAGCTCATTAATTGTGACCTCTATATGCTTGGTTGTAGTACTCGCAAGTATGTCAATGAAACACTCAATTAGGATTCCGCTTAATTCTTTTATGCCTGTTTTGGGCAGAAATAAAAAAATGGCACAAATAAATTAAATATTAATTTGGAAAAATGTTCTAAATCAGAAAAAATTCGCAAAGATATCTGAGCGCGCAACAATTTTCATTACAACCATCAACAACTCTGCCCATTTCTTTGATTACTCCCACAAGAAAAAACACGATCTGACCTGTACCACGTCGGTACCAGTCAGGCTAGAACGTGCACAAGCATCGCTTGGAGCCTGCATAACGCCAGATACAGTGGTACCATGACAGCGCTGTTCACTGCGACTTCGCATGAGAGGCAATCGTCTGCCCTGATACAAGTTACGATGTTGATGATGGCTAGGCCCAACCTGTCGATGTGATTGCTGTAGCCGGCGCAAAGCGGGTCGAATTCCAGCTCGACATCGTGGGCAGGTTATGGACTCACGGAGCCAACGGTCGATGCAGGCCACATGGAAGGCGTGGCCACAAGGCAGGTGGCGCAGGCGATCTCCATTCTGATATTCAACTGGGAATTAACGATAGCAAACAGTGGAGAATTAAATTAGGGGGGAAATTTTTTACTATATCAGACGACAGTGAAAGTGTTACAATGATGCTCAATGAAATCCATACATAACTAGTGAAATATTTATGAAATAGTAAGAGATTTTAACATATGCTTTTATGGACACTTAGTTTGAGATGAAGAGCATATTTTCAGTTATTCAAGTAATCAGACGTAAATTCAACTAATAAAAAAACACAGGTTGTGGCTTCAACGGAAGATGTTGGCATTAACCAAAGCCTATTATTAGCCTGCTTATATTTTCAATAGGATTTCGAATGTCGTTAACATAAATATAATCACCAGTGGAAGGATTTAGGATGCCATCAAGCAAATTTCCTTCAGTGATGCCTGTCATATCGTGTCTATATCCTGTCCTAACATTTCATGTCATGCCATGCTTAGTATGTTCTCCTCTGAACCACAGGTGATTACCTCCTGGACTGTTAAAACAAAAACGTCTTAGTAAAGCCAGATGACAGTTGGCAAAACATAAGTTTCTTCAGTCTCTAGTACGATTGATATAGGAATATTTTCATCACACATTCTGTCAGCGAACTGAGATGAGATGTTTTGAGGTGAGTTGAGATGAGATAAAATGGAATGGGATTAGATGAGATGAAATGTACGGGTACCCAACCTGATCAGAAAAAGGATACTAAGTCACGAAGTAACTTGTATAGATCAATATGAGTTGCAAGTGATAACAGAGCGTATAAATTAGCCTTGAGTAGATTCATTGTAGTGGAGGAACTTGAGAAGGGGAGGATCAGGGCTTAAGGGAGATGAGTTCGTCAGACAGAAAGTCGATGAGACGTCCTACGATCAAGCCTAACCAATTACTTGCCTACTGTACATCCAAGGAAATTTCAGGTGATATGATAGTAGGATTTTCCCCCAATGAAATCGATAGGCCTTATAATGCTGATAAAATTCACTTAGAGTTACCTCTCAAAAGGCTGTCTCATCCAGAATGGACTTCAGACTCTATTTTGCTTGTGTATCATCAGCACCAAAGCGTCGTGAATTGCAACGGTAAATGCGTGTTTACAAAATTGAGAATCCCATTATCAATGCGATTTGAGAGGCTTAACTTTCCTTGAATGTGACATTCGCTCTGTTACCCATTAGCACCCATGTCTGCGCCGTGGAGTGCTAATGTCGCCACTATACTCATGATCAGCTGATGAACCAGTCTTTTGAGAGACAGAGATAAGTGAAAATCAATAGCATCGGGAGACTACTTATCTCAGAGTAGGAAAACTCAATTGTCAGTCCTTAACTCATCTTAGGCGACCTAGAGGGACAAAGTACCTATTAAAAATGGCTGATAGCCCCGAAACCTAACTATACCAAAATGAACTATTTATGATCACTCGATAGAGTGAAGTAGTCTTTAATTTGTCATTAATCCAATTACTCTCACATCTATATCCTTAGTTCTTTTTCTCATACACAGACAAAAAGCTCATCATCTTAACCAGACGTGCATCCGACATGTAGCAAGAGCGGGTAAAAGAGAGATTGGGAGCCAGGAAATAATTATCTCGAGCTATCACCGCTAGTCTGTTCATGTACGTATGCAAAAAAGCACATAAGGACCCATAATAAAATACGCTCATCTACTTTTTAATTGACGTATTAATTGAACAGAACAAATTACTGTGTCATATAATAATAGATAGGTTTAGAGTATTTAGGGATAAGCTATTACATTTTCTTGATTGGTTTGTCTGAATGTGTTTATAAGAGTGATACTCTCCTCTGATAATGTCAATCATATGATAGACGAATGGTCAGCACATTTTAACTGTAATCTAAGAAGGTTGCTTCAGGGATAGCCTCAATCAGACGACATTTCTTAAGGAGGAATCCTCCCCTTGTCTCTTAGTGGGAACGGAATAATGTGGATAATATTTTGGTATTTTTTCTAGGAGTGGACCTAATTGGTAAAAGTATCAAAGTTTCTTTGAATATGATTTTTACTCTAAATTTCTTCCGCACTTACCCCTATTTTCGTAACATATGCCTGAAGACAAAGATAGAGGTTATGGAAAGGTTTAGAGACTCCTATCCTATTTCAAATAGTCTTCGTGCAAAATTTTATTTATTACTAAGCCTTAAGTTATTTTTTAAGAGGTGATAAGGATCATTTTCATCAAGTATTGCTAAAATCTTCAGGGCTTACCTGAATCTCATGCTAGGGACCTTAGTGGGATCCGCTAAAATTTTATGTATTAGTATCTTACATATGTGTTGAAATCTAAATTTTATCGGTTTTAAGTATTATCTAGAGATTATCCGTAGATCTCCATTAAGGGCCTCAGTTACCTTGAGTCGTCTTAAGATCCACCCTGGAAGAGACTACCATTTGGGAAGAAGGCTAAGTTAAATTTGATGGAAGCGTGACACCTACTCATCTTATTGTGGGAAAAGTCATCATCAGTAATTCATCGCCTTTAAGTGATATGTGGTAATTAGAGCTCTTATTTAAGATCTATTGTTAATCTCACAACCATACTGAAAACAAATACAAGTCATGAAGAAAAACAAGGTTTAGAAGAATTTCTTTGTGAGCTTTTGTGACAAATTAGACATGGCGTCCATTTAGAAGGAAAAGTTGATTGGAAAGAATATGTGAAATGGTCTCATTGAAAATCAAAGGAGGATTGTCTCGTAGTCAAGACTATTGGATTGTACGAAAAAGTCTTCGGCTCACCGTCCTGCGACCCCGGTGAACTTGTGCCAAACCTTCGTCTATGCTGTAGCAGACATCATCGGAGCAAGAATCCATAATTTACGGAATAGTACAAAAATTAGACTAAACCAAGAGAAAAGGTGGCGGGCTGCAACCTAATCACTTTTATACACCTATCCTTGCGATCTGCCCTCGTATCTTGATTGGATTGGCCTTAAAATCTCTTTATCACAGCTAGTTATAGCTGCTTAATGTGGCTAATATTTTAATATGATGATTTGGTTGAGTTGGTTAGCTACCTCAAACTTACTCTACATGCAGGCAAGTGAATGAAGGTAATTAATGAACCGGA